AAGGAGCTTGAAAACAGAGTGAGCCTTTCCTTAAAAGTCTCCCCCAGTCTGAGAAAATTTAAGGAGTCCTTGAAGCTGGTGAGGTGACCAAGCCATCACTCCTAGGGATGGACTCACCCTGGTGGGACTTCCGTGCCGTGTGCTGGACATGCAGGGGCCATCTTCCTCAGGATCAACACATCATATCTTCCAGGAAAACAGGCATTTGTAAACCTGCCCTTGCCTCAAGATGAAGGCCTGGATTTGACTGGCTGTGGACAGGCAGCAGGTGCCTGCAGGCTGAGCCAGGGCTGGGGGTGCTCCCCTGAGCCCCTGGCCACAGAGAGCTGCGAGCTGTGCCTGGGGGACAAAGGGACCTGCAGCAGTCCCAGGTTTTGAAGCTTTTCACTTTTTTATTTTAATGTGTCTTTTGTGTCACTGACTTGGCTGGGGAATGGCTGCAGCACCTGGCATTACCAGGAACCCCCTGCTGCCCTTGGGTGCCAGCTCTCACCCAACCTGCACACATGGACACCTGCATCAGCCTGGGGCTGCAGGGTCTGCCCTGCTCTTCAGACGTGCCCATGGCCCTCTGCTGCCACCAAATCCCGCTGGCACTGGTTCCTGTTCTGCTCCAGATCAGGACCTGAAGCCACAGGAGACACGATTTGCTCTTGGCTGCCAGAGTTTCCTCTCACATCCAGAAGCAGCCTCGGGACCTTGGCTGGCTGTTCCCTGCTCAGACCAGCTCCTGCAAGTCACCTCTTGGTGGACAGAGTGGCCTTGTTGAGGAGCACAGGGTGCTGTTGTGTGCCACACGTTCTGCAGTGCCACGGGGTGTCTCCATCAGCCTCGTGCCACCTGCCCAGCCCCTCCTGGATCCCACAGATGCTGTGCAAACACCTGCCCTGCCTGTGGCCAGCAGTGTGTCCTGTTCCTGGGCAGGACACACACACAGCAGGTGCCTCTGCTCACGTGGAACCAGGATCCTGCTGCAGGTGCAGGCAGATGGGGAAGCACGCAGCTGGGGCAGGTCCCCACAGCCTCCATCCTCCTGCCCTGCTCCCTGCAGCCAGCAACAGGCACCTGGCACAGCAGGGTCACCCTTTGGGGTGTGTGGAGGGGGTATGGCAGTGCAGGCAGGGCTGGGGATGGACTGCAGCTGCTGCAGGGATTTCTCCTCAGACACGGGGCTGCATTTCTGTTCTTTGCCCCAAGGAATATCCAGTTTGGAGAGTGGAGAATCAGGGCAGGCCACTGTCCCCACCGTGCTGGGTTCATGGTTGGGGTGCTCTGCTCCAAGGGAGTTCAGTTCCCATTCCTGCACAAAGATGGGAATGACTTAACCCTTGCACACCCAGTGTGTGTGTGCTCCATGGGCTGTCTGGGGAGGCTTGCACGGACACTGGCCCCAGGTGCCTGTGGCAGCTGGAGAAGCCCAGCTCATTGAAGGTCCCCAAAGGTTCCTGCAAGCCCTGCTGGTGTGTGTAGGGCTGAGTTAAGGTGGTGTCTGAGGACTTTCTGGGGCAGGTGGGCCTTCCTGTGGTGGCACAGCCCAAGGCAGGCACTGGCTGGCTGCCCCAGCTAGCCCAGGAAGCCACCAGGAGACATGGAAAGAGGTTACAAACGTGCTGATTTGGATTTCCCTCAGTACCAAATGAATGCTGCTTTGCTGGGTGTCCAGAGGAACAGGCAGCTGAGAACAGGCAGATCATGGAGACAAAGCTCAGTGTGATCCTGTACACTTTTCATTTGATTCACTTCAGTTTTGTTTCCTAGACTGCACCAGCAGCCCCCACAGGAGGAGCTGCTATTCTTCGTTCACAGAGCTGTCTCCAAGTGGGTTCCATAGCAGCAGACAGTGTTTGGTCAGTGTGGAGAGCTTGGCAGATGTGTTACACAGCTGCTGCCTGCTCGTGCTGCGGGCCTGTGGAGTTTGGGAAAGGAAGGAAAAGAAGAGTTGCTAAGAGCAAAGTACTTCAGAGTTTAATTGAGTGTCACGAGAAGGATTTGGACTGGGCCAGGAGCTGTCCCCTCCCTGGGTGTCACTGCAGGGAAGTCCCTGGGTGCCTGGATCTCCTGCAAAGGGGAGATCTCTGACAGTGAGCATCGTTCTCAGCCTCGTCTGGGCAGTGCTCTCCAGTGAATCCCTCTGCAGGGGACCCTGGGATGTCCTGGGCTGTGAGACCAGGAGATGGGGACAGGACAGGTTCAGCAGGGCTCCTTGCTGAGCCACACTGCCTGTCCTCAGTGGGGTAGGGAGCTCTCAATTCCCCTTTGTCTTTTCCCTGCTTGGCCTCAGGCAGCCTCCAAAACTCTGTATCATGGCAGCAATCTTCCCCCTGCAGAGGAGTCTCTGAATGTAAAACTGCAGTGACATTTCATGAATGCCCATTTTAAAACCTCCATTAAAATTACACTCTTGTGACAATTTACCATCCAGATGCTGCTGGTTTTTAGTAAGACCCTAGAACTTGAGGTCATGCCAGCTGTGTGGGGACAGCAGTTTGTAAAGTGCTGTGAGATGCTGCAGCATGGGGAGTTCAGGCTGGGTTTTGTAACAGGTGATGGTCACAAAGCCTCTTCTTGGCTTTGAAAGAAAGGAGTGGACTTTCCTGGAACCTTGATTTCCTGTCCCCTGTGCCAAGAGCAATGCAGGGTGGCTGTGCTGGTCATGGCCAGCACCCTGGGGTCTCTTCTGTACTGTCCCAAGAGTGTCCTTTAAACAAAAAAACCCCAGTTTGCTGCAGAGCATCAGCTGAAGCCTTGTTTGACAGCTGATGTCTTTGGTGCCTTTCACTGCTCTTTCTGCAGAGATTAATATTTGAGGACAAAGGTCATGCTTCTGTTGAGGATTTATTGCAGCATCCAGCTGATGTGCCTCAGGCACAGCAACACACCCATGGATTTGGTGCCAGCCCTTGATTTTCCCTAACATTTGCCCAGGAGGGTGAGTTCAGGGGCCAGCACAGGGTGGGTGCCAGGGTGAGTTCAGGGGCCAGCACAGGGTGGGTGCCAGGGTGAGTTCAGGGGCCAGCACAGGGTGGGTGCCAGGGTGAGCTGGCCCAGAGCGGCTCTGAGCACACCACAAGCAGGCTGCAGTTGTGCCCTGACCTTGCCAAAGGGCAGATCCTGCTCCTCTGTCACTGCTGGATTATCCTGCTCCCCAGAGGATGGGTGCAAACTGCCCCTACCTCCCTGGTTAGGTGGTTCTCAGTGAGAAAATGACACGTGAAACTTTTAAATGAAGTGATTTTCCTTGACCGTGGAAGGGTTAAGCTCCTTTCTCAGCCCATTTCCTGATCAGCCTCAATTAACCAGCACATCCCTCTCCTACCAGTGCAGAACCCAAGCAAAAACCTCATTTTCTGTCAGCCTGGAGCTGGGTTTGCTGTTGCTGTTGAGCACTGGAGTCACAGGGGACACAGCACGAGCTGGGACCGTGCCTGCCTTGGCTGCTGCTGCATTTTGGGGAGCGCCAGGGCTGGGCAGGGTGGGCTCTGAGCCTTCACCCTCCTGTGCACACAGGTCCCCACACTCATTTGTCACAGATACCTGGGCACAGCTTGGGCTTCTGTCTCGCATTTGCAATGGCACACGTTTGATATCATCTCGTTCATGTGTTGGAGCTCATTACGTTGTTAAATGTGAGTTTTATCAGTTGACCTGGTAAAAAAAAATCAACAAGTAGAGAAGAAATCTTTTGCTGCTGCTTGTCCTCAAGTTGGGGGAAGGAGCTGAATGAGAGGAAATATTTGAAATATCCTTGCAACACAAACTTCTTTCCCACCAAGACCAATTCTAGGGCCTGTTAAAATCAAGAATGTTTCCGTAGATAAATGGGACTGAGGCTCGATTGTCAACAAACAAAAATCCCATTTCTATCTACGAGAGGGAAATGCAGCAGTTTGTGCAGAGAAGGGCAGAGAGCAGCCCTGGCTGCTGGGGCTGGGGGAGGCAGCGTGCCCCCACATCTGGGCTGCTGTGCTGCAGCCAGTACAGGCCTGAAAAACCTTTGGATAAAGTGGAAGTGACCAGAAAGCTTTTGAAAAAAGGGAAATAGAATAAATATTGATTATGCTGGAGTGTGCTGAAGTATGCAGCCTGTCTGATTTAAAACAGCCAGAAGATTATTCCCTAGGACCAACTCTGTGAGATAATCAGTGTTTAAAATTTGATTATCAGAAAGCCCAAGGGCTTTAATCTGTATAGATGTGCTTCAAAACATTTATTTGCAGGAACAAGGATGTTTAATTTTTAGCTGTCATTCCATTTATAGATAATCCAGAAAAATGTCTATCAGCTTTAAGCTCCTCTTGTGTTTAGTCAGTCTGGTCTTTGTTTCCTTCTCCTGGGGAAAGGTGAAGTTGTGTGTGTTGTTCTGATGCGCTTCATTGCCACTGAAATGATGGTGGTGCTAAATATGGTATTGAAACAGCCTCTCCCATTATTTAATTAGGAAGAAATCTAATAACTGAACATAAGAACAACAGCCTCTCCAATGTCTGTGGCCCCATGCCAGGTGAAAACACGATTTCAGAAGCTTATTTGTTCAAAATTAAAGACTGTAACAGTCTGAAAGCCCAGCCTTGTTCCCAGTGCAGCAGCCTTGGAAGCTGCAGCTCCCAGCAGAAACCTCAGCCCATTGTGCTGCCAAGGCTGGGAGGCACTGGGAGACTTTGTAAAACAAGCAGTAGAATTACTAACTCCAAAATATAAAAAATTACATTGGATGTGGCCCATTGAGGGGAGGGCACTCAAGCTAAGGGCCAGTGCTCCCTTGGGACATTGAGTGGAATACATTTGTTGCTGACTTGTGGCTTTCACCCTGTTAGAATCATTAGAAACATTAGCATTAACATCCCTGAGACCCATATATCCTTTATTACATAATTTCATGTCGTTTAGGGAAGCTGCACTTGGTTCAGTCCCCACCTTTGGATTAACACATTGATAAATCTGTTTGCTTTGCCTTTGTACTTTATTTTGATTGCCGCTTTTCCCTTTCTCCAGAAACTGCAATACCCATCTGTGCAAAGGACATCAGTGATGATCTGATGAAAGAGTTTGCTTTTCTGTCTGGTGAGTACGAGAACATCCTCAGGGTCTCTCTCTCTCCCTGTGGTAATGAAATACTCCAGACAAACTTTGCTGTTTGTCAGAGTGATACTCCACATGGGCTATTGCCCATCAGGTGGTGTCCAGTGCCACTAGAAATGTTGTTAATAAAACATGGAGGCAGTTTGAAAGAGCAGATTTGGTTTCTGTCTCGTGCCACGCTGTACAATATTCTCACCCCCAGCACTCAGTGCATTCACAGGTGCTTTGCTGTGCAAGGCTTTTCTGTAGGTTCCAGCCCAGTGTGCTTATTTCCCCTTTCTCTTCTGATTTCTTTTGCTGTCCTGTGTAAAGGACACCCAGTAAATGAGGGAAATACCTGCTACTCGATGCATTTGTTTCTAGCACTTGTGTGTTGTGCTTGGGCTCTGGGGCAGCCTCGGCTCGGTTTTGCTGTTGTGGTGATGGGAGAAGCCCCAGTTCTTGCTGTGAGCTGGCTGTGCCCTGGGCTCTGCTGCTGGCCCTCCTTGGCAGCGTGGCCAGGGGAGCATCCTTGTCTTTTCTGCAGGTGGAAGAGGGAAGGACAAGGCTTGGATCATCACCCTCCCTGACAACGCTCGCTTCAACGAGGTGCCCGAGGAGAACGTGGCCAGAGTCTTGACGTACCTGACCTCAGTGCCCAGGTGTGAGCTCCCTGCTGGCCCCTGTGCTGGGCAGAGGGGAGGTCCTGCAGGGTCTGCAGGGCAGAGGGGAGGTCCTGCAGGGTCTGCAGGGTGCAGCCCGTGGGGGTGAGGGGCTTCTTCAGCTCTCAGACACGACAGAGGGGTGCCAGCCCCTCCAGGGTCCAGGGGAGGTATTTTATGTGCCAGGAGCTGCAGAGTAAGGAGTGGACATCATCCCTGTGACCTGTCAGCTGGAATGTGTTACACATTTCGTTGATTAAGTTTCTAATTAACAACAAGCTGTCCTCAAGCTTTGGCATGTGTCACCGCTTAAATATGCCATGCCACTGCAAAATAATGTTTTGACACATACAAATAGAGAGTCATTACTGTGGAAAAAGAGAAATGAAACCCGAGGAAGAGACTAATTACAGGAACAAAGCGTTTGGGGTGCCCGTGACAGGTGATGGCTCAGCAGAGAGCAGCAGCTCACATTGCCTTGCCTGTGTGTCAGGGCTGAGCTGCTGACAGCCTGCCTGTGCCTCACACGGGGCTGTATGCTTAGATTAATGACCCTCCTATTTCTTGCTGCTGAGCCTGGTGACTCAGTTACCTGGAATGCTTAATTTTCTTGAATAATGCCTGTTCTGGCAAATTTCTTCCTGCAGGGAGAGCAGGCTGACGTGGCTGGATGGGAGCTTTCCTGTAGCAGCTGCTTTGGGAGAAGTGTGGAGTGTTTAGGCACCTCTGTTCAAAATATACAGCGAGCCTCTGGCTCCTCTGTGTTGATGGACTCTGTGGTTTCAAGGGCTCGTGGCCCAAGAGCACTGGCCCAGCAGGAACAGGGCCCTGCCAAGTGTTGGCCAGAGGGGTTTTTCCTTCATCCTGTGCAGGCAGCCCTGGTCTGTGCATCTGCACTTGCCAGCTCTGTCTGGTTTCTCCAAGGCTTCTTACTCCATCTGACTGTAAACACCCTGGCATTAGCATGATGAGCAGTCTTGCTGTCCCTGTAATAGGTCAAACTCAATCAAGAAACTAATGAGAGCTGCGAGCTTGCTGGTGATTCAAACACGTTTGGCATGTTTTTAGTAAAACCACTTTAATCATCCTGCTCTGCTTCTCCTACCACCATAACAGCCTGCCCCAATGTCTGATCACCTTAAAAGCATGTTCTCCCTAACACTTTGGAGCTGAAAGGCTCAGGTGAGCAGGCAAAGCATCACCCAGGTGAGGGGGGCAGGCTGTCAGCTCTGGTGCCCCTGTGTACACATCCCTCAGCAGCATCACATCGTGGGGTCAGAGCTCAGACTTTGGCCCAGAAAGTCCCTAAAAGAGGTAAATATTTACCTGCCAGAGGTAGTTTATTTCCTCAGATGTCAGGGTTAGGTGTGGGTGCACCAACAGCTCCTTCCCTGTGGGTGTGCAGGGGCAGATGGAAACCACACACCCCGTGCCTTTCCTGTGCATTGTGTCCCACCTGTGCCAGCCTGAGAAAACCCCGTGGCTGTCAGGTTTGTACTGTTTGGGGGAGCTGAATTTCATGAGGCATATTTCCCCTGGAAATAATTGCTAGATAAAGGAGATTATTTGATTGCTCAAGGTGAGGGCATTAACAGCAGAGGCAGGAGGAAGGTGAGTCCTGTAGGCAAGCTCATTTTTAGTATTCCTGGGATCTGTGCTGCAGGCAGGAGGCAGCTGCAGAAAGTGCTTGTGTGGATGAGCTGTAAGGGAAAATAAGTAGGTGCCCACTTTCTATTCCATGCACATCCAGCTGAAAATGCTGCCCTGGCTGCCTCCAGGCTGGCTGTGCTGAGCAGCACCTGCAGTGCTTGAGGCACAGGGAAGTGTGACAGATCCTGGTATTTGCAGAAAGTGAGTGATAAAGTAGCACTTTATCCAGGCTTGGACTGAGGGCTGTGATAGTGTGGTCTTTACAGCAAATACAGATCTTTTCTCTAGCCTGAAAGAATTTATCTCTTCCAAATTAAGCCAGAATTCCAGTAGAAGCTTAAAGAAAAAAAATAAAAATCAATTGAAGTCAGTTATGATATCTGTAATATTGTTATTACAAAAAACTGTCTTAATTACTATTAAAGTAAGATTTGAAAACTAAAAACATCCCTCAGTGTGCAGCACTGGTGTGGTGTTACCTTCAGTGCTGTGTGCAGTTCTGGGTGCCACATTTAGAAAGGATGTGAAGGCCCTTGAATGTGTCCAGAGGGAGCAAGGGCTTGAAGGAATGTGCTGTGAGGAGCAGCTGAGGCCTCTGGGCTTGTCTGGTGTGGAGAGAAGGAGACTGAGGGGGGATCCCATCGCTCCCTGCAGCTTCCTGAGGATGGCATGTGCAGAGGAAGGTGCTGAGCTCTTCTCCTTGGGATCCAGGGATGGGATGTGTGGTTCAGCATGGCCTAAGCCAGGCAGCTTTAGGACAGACATTAGGAAGGGTTTATTTGCTGAGGGGGTGTCAAACACTGGAACAATTTCCTTAGAGATGTCATTGATTCTCCAAGCTGCCAGTGTTTAGGGGGCATGTGGACAATGACCTCAACAGCATCTTCTCACTTTTGGTCAGCCTGAAATGGTCAGAAATTTGGACAGGTTATCACTGTGGGTCCCTTCCTACTGATAGATCCTGTTCTGTTCTGTTCTTTGACTCTCCAGCCCGTTGGTATTTACACAAGCTTTGCCTGTTTCATGTTTCACGTAGGGAGGTGAGGTGCAGAGTGGTTTGGAGCTGTGGCTGCTAACACAGAGTAGTGGCACAGTGGAGGGTGCTGGTGGCTAAAAATACCTCTGAATTCCAATATTGGGCAGGTTGTGACGGCGTGCTCTGATCCCCGCAGCCGCAGGGAGTCTCTCAGTCCTGTGCTAAACCTCACAACTGCAGACTCCAGGGTCCAATTTCACCTCCTGCAAAACACCCCAGGTCTTTATTTTTAGTCTGGTGCATCCTGCAACACATGCAGAGTTAAGGATGAGGGGGAAAAAAGCAACAAGAGACACTCAGAGAGAAGTAATCCTTCCCTGGTTATCTGTCTCCATCGTTCTGCTGCTGGATGCAGACAAGCAGTGCTCAGAGCCTGGGTAGAAAGCATTGATTTATTTTTATTGTCAGAGTAAGAGGTACATCACGGCCTGGAAATCTGATAAACCTGCAAGGCCTGGCTTGCAAATAGTCACAGACTTTCTCCACTGGCCCCAGAATAAATGACAAATTTCCCACAGCAGGTGTCAAGGCTGTCAGACTGCTGGGAACTTTCCTCTTTGTTTCTGTAAGGGAACTGATAAAAACAAATTAGCATGCTCAGAGGCTGCTCTCTGAGCATAACCTTGTCCTGCCTGACTTCAGCATTTCTTAACTGGCACTGCACTACTTTTCTCAATTCCTTGGGTTCTGAGGGTTCCCTTCAGGTTCTGTTATGATTACAGCAGTTCTGTGTACACACAATTTATGTTTTTCAATTGCAGACTCTTGGCAAACACCATGGGGAGTTTGGGAATTGTTTCTTATAGCTCAGAGACATACCTTTTGAAATTTTAGAGTGTGCTGGAAAACCAAAGGGTTTTATTTTTGCCTGCAACCAAAGGATCCTTTGGCTCCCACCCACCTGGGTCACTTAGCTCCTGGTGGGGCTGAACAGAAACCTGCAGAATTATCTCACCTTGCCTAAACTATTCTAAGCAAACAAAGGTTTTGGCTGAGCTCACCATGCTCACAACTTCAGGCTTCATTACATGTACAAGTTCTGTGTATGACCAATATGTAAAATTTGATATTAATTTTCTCTGCTCTTTTCTTCTATGCTTCAAAGCCACTGAAGAAATTCAAATGAAACCTTTGCACTTTGGGTGTGACATTACAGATCCATAAGATCTGTCACAGGACAGCTTGGGAGTTGAGTGCCTCTATATATCTTCAGTCAGTTCTTCTCATGGATCCAAGGGAATTTTAATTTTTATCCCTGCAAGCACAACTGTTAATTCCTCTTAAATATATTTGTCACAGTTGTGGCTGCCACAGACCCCAGCAGCAAGATGTGCACTGAATGAAGGCTGCACTGGCTTCAAGTGTCTTTTTCTCTTTTCTGTAGTGGAGGTGCCAAGCATTGTGTGACACTGCTGGCTAATCCAGCATGTGTTTGCCTCCCAAGCACAGCAGGTAGTGCAGATGATGCTGGCAGGAGCCTGCTTGCACAAGGTGTGCCCAGAGCAGACACCTGACCCCTCTGGGAGCCAGCACGTGGCCTGGGAGACCAGCACTGGGGTGCCCGGACACGTGTGGGACCTGCTGTGGGACATGTGTGGGATCTGGTGTAGGACATGTGTGGGACATGGTGTGGGACATGGTGTGAGACATGGTGTGGGATCTGCTGTGGGACATGTGTGGGACATGGTGTGGGACATGGTGTGGGATCTGGTGTGGGATCTGGTGTGGGACATGTGTGGGACATGGTGTGGGACATGGTGTGGGAGATGTGTGGGAGATGTGTGTGACACGGTGTGGGACGTGGTGTGGGACATGGCATAGGACACGTGTGTGACACGGTGTAGGACCTGGTGTGGGACCTGGTGTAGGACATGTGTGGGACGTGTGGGACATGGTGTAGGACGTGGTGTGGGACATGTGTGGGACCTGCTGTGGGACATGTGTGGGACATGGGGTAGGAGATGTATGTGACACGGTGTAGGACATGGTGTGGGACATGGTGTGGGAGATGTGTGGGAGATGTGGGTGACACGGTGTGGGACGTGGTGTGGGACCTGGTGTAGGACATGTGTGGGACGTGTGGGACATGGTGTAGGACGTGGTGTGGGACATGTGTGGGACCTGCTGTGGGACATGTGTGGGACATGGTGTAGGAGATGTATGTGACACGGTGTAGGACATGGTGTGGGACATGGTGTGGGACATGGTGTGGGATCTGGTGTGGGACCTGGTGTAGGACATGTGTGGGACATGGTGTAGGAGATGTATGTGACACGGTGTGGGACATGGTGTGGGACATGTGTGGGACGTGTGTGGGACGTGTGGGACATGGCGTAGGACACGTGTGTGACACGGTGTGGGACGTGGCTGTCCTGTTTCAGCAGCCACAAAGTCAATATGACACACAGCAGCCAGGTGTCCTGTGAGCCCTCTGGAGTGAGCAGCGCTGTGCACGCTGCAGTGCAGTTTGTAACTCTGCTGCCTGCCGTGTGTGCTGCCCCAGCTCATCTGGGGAGCAATATTTCGATTACACACCATTCCATACTGCAGTGTACAGCTGGCTGGCTTGGTCAGACTGGGCATTTCAAAGGAGCTCCAAGGATTTGGGTGTTAAAAGGGATGTCAGGAGGCTGTGCTTGCCGAGACAGCCGGCGTGTGCTGGAAAACGCCTCGGAGCAATGGCTGTGTCCCCAGCAGGACGGGCTGGGACAGCCACCACAGCCTGCTGGAGCTCCAGAGCTGCCCTGGGCCAGGCTGGCACTGCCTGCTGCCACCCCTGCTGTGGGCTCAGCCCAGGGGGGAGCAGGGGGGCTCGGGGCTCAGGAGCAGTCTGAGCTCCAGCAGCCTGCAGTCCCCACCTCACACAGTTCCCAGGTGATGCTCAACCCTGGGCTCCACAGCCACGGAATCACAGAAAGAGTGGCTGGGAAGGGAACTGT